TTTTAAGTATTAATATTAACTTTAGAGATTTGTTTAATTAATTAATTTAAAATACTAATGTCATTTGTATTAACAAAAAAATGAATTCATGAGAAATCATATCTAAATATTGGTTATTAGATTATAATTATTCATCATAATTTGGAAATGAAATAGTTTAAGAAAATTTAAATAAATATATCAGGAGTCCATTAGAAAATTTGTTTATTTTTGATTTTATATCCAGAAGTTATATATTTACTCTTGATTTTTGAAAATCTCTCTTAAATACTATCTATAAAGTACGATTTATTTGCTTTTTAATTTATCATTTAAAGTCCTTTAAATTTAATTTAAGAATGATATTTGAAGTATTTTTTAGGAATTTAAAATTAATTTTCTGAGTTTCATGAAATTATTGGAGTTTGCTTTCATTGAGCCATTATATTTATTTTATAAACCCAAGTATTTATAGTCATTATTCATGTTGAATTTAGAATGTAAGAATATGATCTCATCTACAAAATTACTGGTTGATGTTCTCATTTTTGAATTTTTTTCTTTATCAAATTTAAAGATATGTAGAGTGAAAACTTCTTCAACTTAATTAATTTGATATTTAACTTTAGAAAAAGATGAGTCATCTTAAAGATCTTATAATTTAGAAGTAGCATTCTTTCTATATTGTCTATCCTTCAATTATTAAAAAGCCATTTTGGTGGCACTTCATATATCTATATTTCCTCCAGTAATCTCTTTGAATTTTTTTCAAAATAAACATTACTTCTATATTAATTTCCCTTTATTTTCTGTTTGCCTCAATTATGCATTTAAAGGTTGTTATTCTTATTCAATAGCCATCAAAAAGAATCAATTATAATCTATTATTTGTATATAATAAATTAAATAAAACCATTAATGTCTTTCTGACAACATCAATTTTCTCATCCATGATACTATCACTTCAATCGAATAAAAAATATAACAATTCTATCATTCAAATCATTCTTTACTATATGTTTGGAATCTTTATATTTTCTAATGGAGATTATCAAAAGTCTTTTTGAGCAAAATTAAATTTAGGTTAGGATTTATTTTAATATTTGAAGAATAATTCTTAAATACTACTTCAAATGGAAGAGGAATAAATAACTTACTATATCACTTTTGGGTAAAATTTGCACACAAATAAAACAAGTTGAGTGCTAAAATTTGGGCTAAAACTTCACTTTACTGTTTAATTATTAGTCCATATATATTACTATCTAGTAATTTTTCCATATTGACTTATCAGCATCTGACATAATCCTTATAATCCTTTAGATAGCTCTCAATAAAAAAGAATGAAGGCCTAAATATATTCTTTAATCTAGTGCCAATTTATTATTTAAAAAAATGATATTTCATTTTCTAATTCTTATATTCAATCAATAGACTATCTAAATAGTATTTCAAGAGCCAACTATAATTTTAATAGTATACTTAAAGATGTGATTTAAGATTGTATATTATTTATTTATAAAGATCAATCGGTTTAATTCAGAAAAAATTTAAAAGATTTATTATTGAGTGCTAATTTTTATTTAATGCCATGCATCATTTCCTTTTAGAAGTTTATTTCATTCGAATTATTAATATTAAGTACTAAAAGGGTCAATTTATATTACATTTTACTATCCATTATTTATTTTATCATTTTTGGATAAGTTGATCATGGATTCTTAGCCTGTGAGAGATTAGGCCAGAGTATCAAGCTTTGAAGATGTCAGGGATTCTTCTAAATGCAAAGAGATTCTTAAGTAATCCGAATGCAAGTAGTTCTTAAAGAAATAAATTTACAATTCATAAACTAATTTATATTATACATGTATCTAATATTCGAATTTTAGTATGTATTCAAATACTGTAATTTTATTAGTAGAATATATACCTCATAAAAAAAACTTCTACTTAATTATATCAATACAAGATCACTTATTTTCAAATTTAGCCAAAAATTATATTGACCAATACTAAATCCTCCTCGATTAACTTATGATTTTAAGATATTTAAATTTAAAAGACTGACCAAAGGCATATATTTATTACACGAAAACCTAATTATTCTAGATTGTAACTAGTATTAAGTAAGAATTTATGTTGATTTCTAACAAGACTAGTATTCTATTTCGTGAGAATGTTTATATATATATAATACTGAAAATAATATAATTATATTATTATAATACTCATAATTCTCTTAAATTTCTTATTTATATTTCCCTCGATTAATAATTCCAAATGATCAGATACTCTCCGTCATCACTCAATTATCCAAAAATACCATAAGTACCAAATTCAATAGATTATTAAATGATATAGTCACCATTTTCTTTCCTACTTATTAAATTAATATTATTGCCATTCTTATTCACAAGAATGCATTTTGACTTTATATATTATTATGGAAAAAAGCAACAATCATCACTTGAACCACACTTTACAGCAATTTCCTTTGTCTTTG